ACACAGTGTCCTATACACACATAGTGTCCCGTACACACATAGTATCCCGTACATACAGTGTCCTATACACACACAGTGTCCCGTACACACAGTGTCCTATACAGTGTCCCGTACACACATAATGTCCTGTACACATAGTGTCCCGTACACACAGTGTCCTATATACACATAGTGTCCTATACATACACAGTGTCCTATACACACATAGTGTCCCGTACACACATAGTATCCCGTACATACAGTGTCCTATACACACACAGTGTCCCGTACACACAGTGTCCTATACAGTGTCCCGTACACACATAATGTCCTGTACACATAGTGTCCCGTACACACAGTGTCCTATATACACATAGTGTCCTATACATACATAGTGTCCTATACACACATAGTGTCCCGTACACACATAGTATCCCGTACATACAGTGTCCTATACACACACAGTGTCCTGTCCTAGATTCTCACAGGATTCTTCACATCTTTATTGTGGCTTTGGTTTTTTGGTGTCTTTTTGTTTTTTGTTTTTTGTTTTTTTTTTTTCTGTACTGGAGATGAAACACATAGCTTTGACAAGGTTCTGCCACTGATGCTATATCCCTAGAGCCTTCACATCTTGTTTTTTACCTTTAAATTAAGGGTCAGTAAAATTTCCTATGAAAAACCAAATAGTAGATACTTTAGGTTTAAGGATCGTATGGTCTGTAACTACTACTGTGGCAGAAACAGGTTATCCAGCCTGTGGTTGGTAGAAGCTCATATATGATCCTACCTACTGGGAAGGTTGAAGTAGGAAGACTGAAAGTTTGAGGTGAGACTGAATCACAAAGTGAGTTCAAGGCCAGCCTAAGCAATCTAATAAAATCCTATTTCAAAATAAGATTACATCCAAAAAAATAATAAGATTACAAAAGAAGGCTGGGGATATAGCCCAGTGGTAGAGTACATACTTTCCCCATATAGTATGTGGGAACCCCGAGGAAAATACACACACGTTCTGTAGTAAGACAAATTTGAAAAGTCTTTTTTTTTTTTTTTTTTTAGTTTTTTTGAGACAGGGTTTCTCTGTAGCTTTGGAGCCTGTCCTGGAACTAGCTCTGTAGACCAGGCTGGCCTCGAACTCACAGAGATCCGCCTGCCTCTGCCTCCCTGTTGAAATAGGAGCGGCAGGGCTGCGTCCCCGGCACCTGGCCGCCAGCATGGCTAGGTTATACCCGAAATAATTACACGGAAACTGTATTCTTTCAAACACTGCCTGGCCCGTTATCTGTAGCCTCTTATTGGCTAGCTCTTACATATTGTTCTAACCCATTTCTAATATTCTATGTAGCCCACGAGCTGGCTTACCAGGGAGGATCTTAACCTGCATCTGTCTGGAGTGGGAGAATCATGGCGACTCCCTACTAAGCTTCTTTCTCCCAGGATTCTCTTCTGTTTTCTCCGCCTACCTAAGGTTTGGCCTATCAAATGGGCCTAGGCAGTTTCTTTATTAATAAGAAATCACTCCCACATCACCTCCCGAGTGCTAAAGGCGTGCGCCACCACCGCCCGGCTTTGAAAAGTCTTGTACATATCGTATCTTAGAAATTCACCATTTACACTTTTTTTTTTTTTTGGTTTTTGAGACAGGGTTTCTCTGTAGCTTTGGAGCCTGTCCTGGAACTAGCTCTTGTAGACCAGGCTGGCTGCGAGCTCATTTACACTATTATTAAAAACTTCCTTTGCCCTCCTAAAACTAAGGTCTAGAGATTTGGCATTACATATGCCAGTTTAGAGGAAAGTCAGACCTAAGACCACATCACTTTTATTTCAACAAAAGCCTACTCCACCCTGCACCACGTCGGTCGTTTTTTGTTTTTGTTTTTTAAGATTTATTTATTATGTATACAACATTCCTTCCATGTATGTTTGCATGCCAGAAGAGGGCACCAGATCTCATTACAGATGGTTGTGAGCCACTATGTGGTTGCTTGGAATTGAACTCAGGACCTCTGGAAGAGCAGTCAGTGCTCTTAACCTCTGAGCCATCTCTCCAGCCCCCTCTGGATTTTCTATGTAAAGGAGAAATGTGGTTCCTTGATGTTCACCGGGTTCCACAGGGTGATTCCATGTGGTGATTCTTAGGGACACAGTCTTGCTGACCTCTGAGGAATCTTACTCTTCAAGATTCCTCAAAGGCAGCAGTGTGACAGCCAGTGCCCTCCTTCTGTCCATCTTTCCGAGATACAGACATAGCCTAGATTCTGGGTCAGTGTATGTCTTCCTAACTTCAGGTGTTTGGGGCAGAGGTGACTCTTCTCCAAGCCACAGAGTAAAAGAAAAGGCCATCGCCTTAAAGCAAAGTTTTAACACCCTAGAAGATAGGGATCTTTGATGGTGGTTTTTTGTTTTGTTTTGCTTTTGTTTGTTTGTTTTGTCGTCCCCCCCCCCCCACACACACACAGGGTTTCTCTGTAGCTTTGGAGCCTGTCCTGGAGCTAGCTCTTCAGGCTGGCCTCGAACTCACAGAGATCTGCCTGCCTCTGCCTCCCGAGTGCTGCGATTAAAGGCATGCGCCACCAACGCCTGGCTATTTTTTGTTTTTTAATGGGGTTTTTAACCTTCAGACTTGTGAAGAGGAACCGTGATTGATAGGGGAGAAGAGAAGGAAAGGAGAGAATGAAGCATTCAGGATACACATATGAGATCAGCTTGGGCTTCATGAGACCCTGACTCAAAAACAAATGAGCTAGACAAAGAAAGAAGATATCCTGAGATGCTAAGCGAGGAACCAGAATGAGAAAATAGCGAAAAGAAATGTCTGTCAGGGTACCACCTGCCTTTCCACACAGGCAGCTCAGAACCCCAGATTGTCTGTCAGCTGAAAGGGCCTCGTAGAGACTATTTGGTTCTAGCTCCTGTTTTAGATGAGAGCCCTGAAACCCAGAGAAATAAGATGCCCAAATCATGCTTGCAGCCCTGTTCACCAGAACTGAGGGAGTGGGGACCACAGCTCTGTGGGTAAAGCCCTGTTCCTTGTCAGTCCTCATCTGTGTTTCCAGCTGTTTGAGGAACTCTTACTGGGGACCTGCTGCCTTCAAGCATTGCTGTTCTGCCAACTAACTAGAGGTCTCTTTTATTGCCTTGGTACAGGATATACTGCAGGGACACCATACAAGGTCCCACCGACCCAGAGTAATACTGCTCCACCCCCCTACTCCCCATCACCCAATCCCTATCAGACGGCCATGTATCCAATCAGAAGTGCCTACCCCCAGCAGAATCTGTATGCCCAGGTAGGTACACATGGAGGACCTCTTCTGCAGGAGCTTCCAGCAAGGATGGGGTGGCATGGGATGAGGAAGAGAAAAGAGAGTCCATGGGTTTAGCTAGCTGTCATCACTGTAATGTCACTAAAGAATATTCCTGCAAGACTGCCTACTTTGCCTCACTCCCAAAGGGTGAAGAATGAAGTCAGTTAGGCTACCAGAGCCTCCAACGTCAGGACCATTAGAAATGATCTGGCTCAGCTCCTTTGTTGGACAAGTAGAGAACCTGAGGCTGCAGAGGCTGGGTCAGGCTGTGCTATTACTTGTGTTGATCTCCTCTCTTTTAATCTCACACCTCCCATTCTTTGATAAAATCAATGAGCCAAGTAGGAGAGAGAAAGAAAAGGAAAAAAATCAGTGTCTGCTACCGGTGCCCTCTGTGGTTCTGTAGTGTTTTATTGGTCCATCTGGGTTTCTCCTGCTGGAGAATGTGTGCAGCCGAGGGGAGGCAAGAGGGAGCTGTTTGAGACTCCAGCCTGACCATGGTCCATCCTCTGAAGTGACGGTTCTACATGAGGTCTAAGTGGTAATGAGTCTTTAAACTTTGGGGTTTAAAAACCAGTTTTGTTGCTGGGCGGTGGTGGCACACACCTTTAATCCCAGCACTCAAGAGACAAAGTCAGGTGGATCTTTGAACTTGAGACCAGCCTGATCTACAGAGCGAGTTCCAGGACAGCCAGGACTACATAGAGAAACCCTGTCTTGGGAAAAAAGCAAAAACAAAACTAGCTATGTTGCTTGAGAGATGGCACTTGCTGTTATTGCAGAGGACCTGGATTTGATTCCCAACACCTGCATGGCAGCTCATACTCATCTGTAACTCTAGTTCAAGGTACACAGTGCCCTCTTCTGGCCTCCATGCAAGTGGTACACAGACAAAACATACACACTCACACACATTTNTATATAACTATATATATATATATATATGTATATTAAACAACTAATAGAAAATATTTTTTTAACTAGCTATGTTGCAGAGTATTCTACAAAACTGGGACATGACAACATATGCCTTTAATCCCAGTATTGGGAAGAAGTTCAAGTCATTCTCAGCTACATATTGAGTTCAAGGCCAGTCTACCTGGAAAATAAAAGATAAATAAGAAACAGGAGGCTTGAATCAACTTTTCTCAAGTATGGCATAGTATCTTAGCCTCTAGGGCTAAGGTGAGACTTTGATTATTTACTATTGAGTTAGTCTCCAATGCTTTTATCTGCTCCCACACTCGGGAGGCCCATGAATGCAGCACCAGGAAGAGCCGTGTGATCTGGGAAGGGAACCATCACTTCAGAACACTGCCTTCAGAGGTATCTTGCTACCCAATAATGACAAAACGAACACAAAAGAACAACATTCACAACAGTGTGTGAATGCCGTTAATAATGCGTCTGCCTGTGTGGCAGTGTTTTGGTGTCCCCGTGCTGAGAAACTGACTATATTCCTTACTGATAAATTAGGGGCAGCTTATGGTAGTGCCTTGGAATCAAATTTTTTTTATTTTTTTCCCTTGGGTTTTTCGAGACAGGGTTTTTCTGTAGTTTTGGAGTCTGTCCTGGAACTAGCTCTTCTAGACCAGGCTGGCGTCTGACTCCCAGAGATCTACCTGTGTCTGCTTCCTGAGTACTGGGATTAAAGGCGTGTGGAACCAATCCCTGGCAAATTTTGAAAAATTTTAAATGTTAAAGCCAGGGCTAAAGGGAGAAAAGCTCTTACTACTAAAAATTCATAGCCACTCTAGGGGTGCAAGCGAGAGGGCCTTATTTTTCAGATCAAGCTAAATCACAGCAGTGAACTAGTTGCAGAGTGAGACAGAACAGAGCCCCAGCCTACACTGTGTCCCTAGGCCAGAGCTTCTCTTACCTGGTTGCTCCCCACCCACCATCTCTTCTCTCCAAGAACTCCTCTGACCTTAGCCTCTCTTCACAGGGAGCCTACTACACACAGCCCGTGTATGCCGCCCAGCCCCATGTCATCCACCACACTACAGTTGTCCAGCCCAACAGCATTCCCTCTGCCATCTACCCAGCTCCTGTTGCTGCCCCCAGGACCAACGGTGTGGCCATGGGCATGGTGGCAGGAACCACCATGGCAATGTCAGCAGGTAAGGGCAACATCTGCCAAAGAATCCTTTGCTGTCTTGCGGGAATCCTCACACTGGAGAACAGTCATGGAATTGGCTGCAGCCCAGCATGGGAAATTATATGCCAGGCTAGAGAGCTTTCCAGGAAGCCAAAGAGAAGATGCTCTAAAATTTAGAAATTTAGAGTATAATTTAAAGTCTAAATTATTTAAAGGGATAAGGAAGATGGCACACAAGATGGGTATGTTGAGCAAGGCCTTGAATAATGGGTGAACGGAGGCCAAGCAGAGAAATGAAAGTGGGAAGGGAAGTAGACGCAGAAGGATCAAAGTGTGGTGTATTCATAGGATGGAAAAGGTTTAAGGCGTGTAAGAAATGCGGAGGGGGAGGGGAGAGAGGAAGGACATGATTGTGGAAAGGCTTGAATGCTTTCAGGTGAGGGAGCTAGCGCTGCAGCAGGGGAGATTGAACTGACTGCGGGCTGGATTGGGAGGGATGTTAACTGTGGGCCTCCAGTGACAACAGGGGGCCCAGGCAGGAATATAAGAACCATCCCCATAATTAACTGTAAGAGCTGAGAGAGACAGGAGTCTGCCCTTAAGGAGCACTGGGGATAAAGGTGGGAAGTGTAGCCTTAGAGATAATTGGCACTGCCATGTGGGCGTAAAGATCCGAGATGTGACCAGCATGGTTGCTCAGTACACAGGAAGCTGCTAGTTATTTGCTCAGTGCCAGCCTGATTAAGGTCCTGGGAAGGAAAGATCCTTAAATACCTAGGTGAGTATATGTAGAAGAGAGAATCAGGAAAGATAACGGTTTCCACACGTGTACGCAGTAAGAGAAGCATGCAAATGAAAGAGGGATTTCCTAAGAGTAATTCTGTCTTCGAGCATCCCAAAAGACTCCTCACCCTAAGGAGTGGAAGCCTGGTAAGGTGGAGAGGGACAGTGCTCACCAGGCAGGCCAGGGTGGTAGGGGCATGGACAGGAAGGACGGCCATGTAAAAGCCTTTTCCTCCTCTCCATCCTGTACCCAGGTTATGGGTTAGAGCTTACTCAGGTTTCCTCCTCTCTCGATGCCCAGGTACCTTGCTGACCACACCCCAGCACACTGCAATTGGGGCACACCCTGTCTCCATGCCCACGTACAGGGCCCAAGGAACCCCTGCATACAGCTATGTGCCCCCGCACTGGTAAAGCCTGCAACCTGTCCAAGTGAGTAGGGCCAGGGATGGGGAGAAGGGAAGGGACTCCTGCAGGAACTCCCTCAAAGTCCTGGCTTGAATCTGGAGCACAGGCAACAGTCACCACTTGTTACCTGTTCCGGGTTACAGCCCTCGTAGTTTTTAACTCATGGGTCTTTAACTCTGTTTTTTAGATACACAGTTCAAAATCACTCAGCCAATTAGATTGAGCAGTGGCTTTGTCCTCTGTTATTGAATTCTGTGCTCTTTGTGGTCTTTAGATGTCTTTAACTAGAGACTCGGTTCTTCAAATGAAGTCTTGTCTAAATCATATACCAGCTTTGATGTTAGCCAAATAGAGACCCTGACCCCAGCTTCCTTACTGTCCTCTGCACCTCTGGGAGGCATGTAGGGCTCAGGGAAGGGGGCCCTGTGGCGCGTCACTCTCTCTAACAGTGTTCCTTCCTCCCCCAGACCTGGAGTCACATTGTATGCAACTACTCAAGTCTTACACCGGTGCTGGAGCAGTCCCCTAGCAGCACCACCTCTATTTGCAAGAAGAGACAACGGAAGTGCAAGGGTCACTTTATGCATCTTTAATGATTTTTATTTTTATTTTTGGTTTTTGTAAAAGCTGCTTTTTCTAATCTAGGAGCCTCCCCCTCGTGCCTCCCTCTTAGCCACTGCCCTCCTGACTCTATCCCCTCTTCCTACCTGACCAGGCCCAGTCCTCTCTGCACTTCTTTCCTGTCCCTGCAATCCCAGTCTAGGAGCAGGCAGAGAGGGAGGTTTATTGCAATGGCTCATCTAAAGGCTATATTTCATTTGGAGAACATAATAGATGTGGCCGTCAGGTCTGGGGTAGGAACTTGGAGCTGTTGAGAAGGCCACACCTCTGTCAGATTGTCATTTTGCTGAAGCAAGATTACTTCAAATACAAAGAAATATCTTCTAAGAGCCATTGCAAAAGACCAAGAACAAGCCCACCTGGTTATGTAGGAATGTTGTCAGCAGCTTCACAACCCCAGGCCCAGAACCTGGGAAAGCAGAGAATTTGGGGAAGGGTGAAGGGAGGGAGGATAATAGGGAAGTAGTGTGGAAAAGGGGCGAGAGGGTGCTCAATTCTGGTTTGAAAGGTCTCTGGCCATATTGCTGGCCTGGACCTTCTGATTTGCACAGTGATGTTAGCTGACCTGGCACTTCCTCCAGAGATGCTATGACCTCAGACCTGCCAAACACTTGCATGGTGGTGGGATCCCAGCATCCAGAGGCTTCAGAAAGCCAGGTGCCTGCATAATCCCACCTTCAGCCCGAACCTCATGGACCCACTCGAGGGGCTTTCTCCTCAGAGAGTGGCATTTCTCTCCCTTGCCCTTCTGCCCTTTCCCAGTGCCGGGGTGCACATGTCTGTCCGTGGGGCCGGCATGCAGGCCAAGCAGGCCAAGCTCTTGGTTACCTTCTGCCACTTCAAGGCCAAAGTGAAGGAACCACATTCCAGGAGGGAGCTGGCGGTTCTGAAGGTCAGGATAGTGAAGGAAAACAATAGCAATAATCATTTCATACTCATGGAACTGAAGGAACCTTAGCATTCATCATCTCATCCATTCCCCTATTTGACAGATGAGGAAACTGAGGCCCAGAGAAGCAGAAGGACTTCTCTGAACCTTATAGTAAATTAGCATTAAATGCAGCCTTCCTATTTACTGGCATTTTGCCTACAAAAATTTAGCAAGGGATGGATTGGCTTGGCTTTGTAAAAATTAAGTCAGCAGTGTCCACATCTAGTGAGCTCTGACCTCTGGGCTTCTTCCTGCTCTTTCCCTCATGGACTCTAAAGGTGAGGGATTGAAGACTAGGCAGAGGCCACAAAGGGCAGAGGGCAGGAACAGAAACTGCATTTGGAAAGCCTGTGACGACATCTGGAATGTTTATCCTGCACCTGACTCCACCTCTAGGAAAAAAAGCAAGTGGGCTGGCTGGAAGGGGCTGTGCACTTAGGAGAGTAGTCCTTTATCCCAAGAAGAGAAGAAGAATGGGAACCACCAAAAACGGAAGACCAAGCAGATACAACCACATCTGGGAGAAGAAGAGGGACCCCTGAGACAAGGAAGCCCTTCCTAGTCTCAGCCAGGAAATGGATTGGCCAGCCACCTTCCTGTGCCCAACTAGCCAAGCCAATAGCCTCACTGGGTGGAATAGGAGTATCTTTCTGTGTAAAATTGGTTCACTGGTAACACCTGAGACTCGAACTATTTTCATTTCAAATTGATGTGAACTTGAACATCACCTTCCTCCTATTTCCCGTGTTCCCCTGAAGGAAACAAAAAAATGGAAGCCCTTGAGCTAGAATGAGCTCAGAAACAGTCTGACTGTTTCCAGGAATTCAGAGTCCATCAGCATCCATGGCAGAGAGCCAGAAGTTAGGGCTCCTGCCTGCCCAGCCTTCTGGGAGCTTCAGGACCAGGAGAAGACACGGCTGTTCTGGGTACTGACAAGGTTTTCTTATAAGACAAAGTTTTCCATTGTTGGTCCGCTTTTTACAATGCCTCCTTCTACCTTCATTGGTTTTGTAGAGGTGGATGAAGGTTGGTATAGATTATGTCTTAAATGTTTGAAAAATGCCAAAATAATAATGGTGGTAATAATTATAGAATACCTTCGCATGTGTCAGGTGCTTCACAGATGTTAAAGCATTTCACGGCTGATGCACTGGCCCTGAGGGTTAGCTATCCCACCTACTTGACAAACGTGAAAACAGTTCTAGGAGATGAAATGGCCAGAAGTGAACTGTACGCTGGAATCCTGGCAGGTTTCCTAGACCCAGTGGCCTTCAGATGACCTGGTAGAAAAAAAGAGAGACCTAGGAATGGCCTCTTAACATTTGTTCTTTACACATCAGTAAGTAAACACTGTGACCCTCGCAGTTCATGGGGTGTGTCCCTGAGATGAAGGCATGATGCCTGCTGTTTAATTCATAGAGAATCCAAGACTCAGAAAAGTCCCATGTGTGACATTCTGGTAAGGAATCCCCTGCTGGCTGTAGTCTCTCCAAGCCTGATCCACACATGGGCTCATGTTCTGAAGCATCTATGCTCTGTACCTCATATTAGACCTAATCTGTGGATTCAGGATCAGAAAGACCCCAAGGTGAAAACCAAGTGTTGACATGCTGTAGTACAGAGAAACCAGACCAGTTAACCTTTCTCAGTAAGAGCACAAGAGCCCCAGTTCAGCTGGCCTCCTGCTTTTGTTTGACAGAGATCAACAAGCCTGGCCAAGCTTAAGGAGGGAACCATGGCAAACAGGCTGAACCCCAGAACGCAGTGTGTGTGTACCTTGGGTTAGGTGAACACAGCTCTAGCAAGGGTGCCCTAGGTATCATTTGAGGATTCTGGATGGCCCTAGTGGTCAAGATAGATGAGGCCAAAGCTGTAAGGGGCCCCTTATCATAGGACAAGGCACACCGGCATCAACACACACACACACACACACACACACACAAGGCGCCGCGCACCTTGTTGACACACCTCCCTCTCCCAATACAAAGCTGAGGTAGAGGTGGATCTGTTCACCAGCCTTCCTTGGTGCCATCTGATCATCTTCATCGGTCCTGGGCCAGAAAGTTTGGGTCTGAGAACTGGACTACTCCCAGTGAGTAAAAGCCTGCAAGTCTCTTGCCATGCTTTCGAAACAAGTTCTTCCTATGAGATAAAATTCTTTTTCCTTCTTGATATCCTGACATTGACTCTGAAGTGCATACCCCTCTTCCCTGAGTATTCATCAGGGACACACAATCTATCTGTCCAGACCTTTTTGTACATAAAGTACTTTGACACTGATTGCCAAAACCTCTAGATTTTGAGACCTTAGAGATACGGGCGGGGGTCATCATGTTCTGAAGGGATGAGAGACTTGCCAGAGGACACATAGCTCATAAGTACAAGAGCCAAGACTTGATCCTCTGTTCTTCTGCTGCCTCCTGCTGGGTCTCGAGTGTAAGCATGCTTGAAGAAGGAAAGGACTATGTGTGCCCACAGAGGAAGTGTTTATGGAGACTTGGGGGAGCTCCCATTTTTCAGCTGAGCAGATTTTTGAGAATTTCTTCTTTAGGCCGAGACTTGTATGGGCCCTGGGAACCTAGAGGTAGTAGTTCCAGCAGAGAAGTTGCCACAAAAGACCTAACTCAGAACACCAAAGGTGACACTGCCCAGTACTGAAGATGATTGGGGACGGAATCAAGTATCTTTGAGCAAGGAGTCTTGCTTCTGAGAAGCCTGCATGTTGGCTCTCTTGACTCCTATCCAGATCCAACAAGGCAGTTCAAGGGGACATGGCATAAGTGTGAACTTCTGAAACACATTCGACTGGAGTCCTCATGCTTGCTCCTCCAGTGAGAACCAGGTCCTAGAAAGGCTAACTAGGCTCCATATGACCCAGTATTTCCTAGCCATCTAGATGGTTCCATGGTTGAGACCTAGAGGTTTCTTTGGAAGGCTTGATGCTCTGTCCTGAATAGCCTTCAGAAATGAGTCATGGGGAGCATCAGAGGATAAGTCTCACGGTCACCAGTTCTGGCATCATATTGTGCAGACATGACAAGTCAAACAAGGCACATCAAGTATCTTGCCCTGCTCTGGCTGGATCCATCATTATTATCCCAGGTGTGACTCATTCAGCGAGCTCTGCCTCTCCATCTTGTGTTAATCATATCACTGCTGATTATGTGGCCCCCATACTTGTCAAACTTGGGACTCTAGAGAAGGGCAGCCAGGGTCGGAATGGACAAAGGGGAACAAATCAATGAAGAAACTTAGCCAGGTTCTCTGGTCAGGTGACACCTGAGCCTCCAGACAGATTTCTACCCTATTCCCTCTCCTAGAAAAAGCACTCGTGAATTTGGTATTATGTGGTTCCAGAACTCAGTCTTTGACATTCCCAGCAGGCCAACTCCAACATTCCATGGCCATACTTGGGTCCCATTCCCTCAGTTTCTCCAGCAGGTATTTCTTAATTTAGAAACTGTTGATGCCAGTCAGAAAGCCAGCCAAGAACACAGGAGTTAAAACTGGTTGCCACAGAGCCAAAGAGGGACATAACAGCACCTGCTTCACTGTGGCTGCTACATCAGTAGTCCTTAGGTATCCCTGGTGTGGCAGTGTGTCCCTTCATCCATTCCAGCCTGAGAACAGATAAAGCAGCTTTACAGATAGCAGCCCACAGGAATCAAGTGAGTGAAATCTGCTTTGGGCTAAACCCAGCATCCTCTATCCTTGACCCCAGCTCAGCCATCCTCCGCGTGCGCGAAAATCAAACTGAAGAATAGGACTGGCCCAGAGACCTCAGGTCAGCCAGAACCACTGCATCTGTCTTGTGAACCATGCTCCTTACAAGGTGAGGCAAGACTACGCCTCTTGCACCTTGAAGTTGTCTTTAATCTTTGAAGGCCCAGGGCCTGTCCCCTTCCTGTCTTCAAGGCATCTGATCCCTTTCATATCACACGACAGAGAAGCTTGTTCTCATGGCATGTAACATCCCTGCGGAGAGCGTTGTGTATGATTTTGTATTTTTTATTCATTTTAACCTACAGGTTGGAATCTAATTTTTAAATTTTATTGGAACTCACATTTTAAAAATAACATTAAAAATAATAATTATTATAATAATAAACCTTTGACCGGTGTCTTCCAAGTAGCTTGATCAAATAATTTATAGGCGTGTTCAGAGCCTGGAGGTAAAAACTGGAAAGCCCTGTGGCCACACTTGTGTGTGTGAAGTGTACATCTGGCTTTGTTGACTTGGATTCTTTTGAGTTTTGCTTTGTTTTGAAGATCAGCTAGTGATCAGTCTGAGAGGTTGAAGCCAAGAGTTTGTAACTATATGATATTTACTGTAAGCTGTAGAACATTCAACAACTATTAAAAAATGTTTCCAAAAAAAAAAAAAAAAAACCCCAACATGTGGTTCTTGGGTGAAGGCCACACAGATAGCCTTGGGCTAGTAAGCCCTGCATTTCCCTCCCAGACAACTCTCAGTTTTGGGGGGTTTGTTTTGTTTTAACATGTTCTTGTACACATCTGGAACCTCAATGCTTTGGAGGCTAGGGTAGGAGTACAACATGAAGGCTTTGTCTCTAAGCCTGGGAAGATGCTCAGTGGTTAGAACACTGATTACTCACAGAGGGCCAGTGGTTCACAACCATCTGCAGCTCCTATTCCAAAGGATCCTGTGTGTTCTGGTCTCTGGGGCACCAGGCACACGTGGTGCACTTACACGCAAGCATTCATACACAAAATTCCATACATGCATGAGAGAGAGATTCTGTGCTGTGTCTTCTTGGAACTATGGGTCAGGCAGTGCATGGGCGCTGTGGAGTGTCATCAGCACCTGGGCCAGACAATGTGGTAGAAACCAGGGGAAGCTGTTAAAGAACTGACATGTAGTCAGGCTGGAGGAAAGGGAAAACTAATAACAAAAACCCCCGCTCTGGGTTGGAGAGATGGCTCAGAGGTTAAGAGCATTGCCTGCTCTTCCAAAGGTCCTGAGTTCAATTCCCAGCAACCACATGGTGGCTCACAACTATCTGTGGTGGGGTCTGGTGCCCTTTTCTGGCCTGCAGGCATAGACACAGACAGAACATTGTATATATAATAAATATTTAAAAATAAATCTTTAAAAAAAAAAACCCTGCTCTTTGTTGAGTGTCTTGTGGCTGCTGCTTGCCGCTCGCTTCTGCTTGCCGCTCGCTTCTGCTTGTTGATCTCTGAGGTCCTCACACTCTGCGGCCAAGAGAAGCTCTGCTATTGAAAGAAGGGCCTTCACTAAGGGAAAGCTGAAATTCATACTGTGTCTAGTTTCAGAATCCATGTTCTGCCCATCTCAGTGGAGGTGGTTCTTTTCTCTCTCCTCTCTTTTTTAATGTTTTCTGAGACATTTTCTCTGTGTAGCTTAGAACCTGTCCTGGAACTTGCTCTCTAGACCAGGCTGGCCTCAAACTCAGAGATCTGCCTGTCTCTGACTCCTCACTGCTGGGATTAAAAGTGTGCCCCACCAACCAGCTATGAGGTGGATAGAGGCTTCTCAAGCAGTGAGGGAGTGTCAGGAAACCAAGGGGGACCATTAAAATCCACAGGGCCTCATACAAGCAGTCATTAAGGGCTCTTTTTTCTTTCCCTACTGTACTTTTGAATCTCCTGTCCCTCCCTGCTAATGCTGCTCAAGCTTTGTCTTAAACTACTTCTCTATTGTGAAGGCACCATAACCAAAGGAACGTACAGAAGATAACCATCATGGTGGGGAGTGTGGAACTGGAGCAGTAAGTAGTTTATCCAAAAGTAGGAGGCAGGGAGAGAGAGAGAGAGAGAGAGAGAG